AGAGAGAGAGAGAGAGAGAGAGAGAGAGAGAGAGAGAGAGAGTCATAGCCATCGTTCCATCATTACTGGAGAACTTTATGACTATGATAAACATCAACCAAGGTGCTTTCTGGTGTAGTGTCTTCCTGGTACAGCCATTCTTCTTCCTGTGACATCATCCTGTCAACAGCAATTCACTGAATCCAGTTTTGAGATGAGTAAATAACCCAAATTTGGCCTATTGAGATCAATCCCCAGGTTTCCGTGGAAATATCTGGAAAGGGCAGTTCTCAAGTCACAAACAGAATGGTTATCATGTAAGAAAGAGCCTAGTGAAACCAGAACACAACCAAGAAACTGGGGGAAGGAGGCAAATTTTTGGTAATGGTGTTTGAACAGCTGGATCCAGCCAAGCCTAACATCAATGACACAGCCAGAATTTCCAGTTAGGCAAGCTAATACATAATACAAAGTACTGCTGTTTGGTTTAGTTTGGGTTTTTGAAGCAGGGTCTCACCATGTAGCCCTGGCTGACCTGGATGGAGCTCACTGTGAAAACCATGTTGTACTCGAACTCACAGGGATCAGCCTGTCTCTATCTCCCAAATGCTGGGTTAAAGGTGTGCACCACCATGCCTGCTAGCACTTCCTTTTGTATAAACCAGCTTTGTGATTTCTCCTTTCATTTCTGGAGATTGAACCTATCACCTCATGCATACTAGGAAAATACTCTACCACTGAGCTGGATCAGTACCACTTTGAGTCAATTTTGATTGGCTTTCTATCACTTGCAACCAAAACAGACCTGGTAGATAGAAAAAGATGCCTTTGGGGAGACTGAAGACTGCTCTTCCAGAAGACCTGGGTTCAGTTCCCAACACCCACATGGCAGCTCACAGCTGTCTGTAACTCCAGTTCCAGAGGACCTGACACCCATGACAAAACACTAATGCACATAAAGTAAAAATAAAAATAAAAAGATAACAGTTGCCTTGTCCTCGATTTAAAAGAAACTGACTAGCAAGTTCTGGGATCTTAAGCAACTCACTAAAACTCTCTGACATCAGGTTAGTCTGTAACAGATGAAAAGACCTGGAGATGTAGTTTAGTTGGTAGAGTGCTTGCCTAGCAGTACAGAAAGCTTTGATTCAATCCCCAGCTGATTAAACTAGACAGAGGGTGGCTCACACCTTTAATCACAGCTCTTGGGAGGTGGAGACAGAAGGATCAAGATTTCAAGATCCTCTTCGGCTACCTTGATTTCACGGTCAGCCTAGGGTCCCTGCATATATAAGACCCCATCTCTCTGGGTGTGTCTCTCTCTGTCTCTGTCTCTGTCTCTTTCTCTCTCTGTCTGTCTCTCTCTTTCTCTCTCACACACACATACACACATTTCTTCAATTTCTATGTTCTTCCATCCTCTTGATCTCTCTGGGATCTTCTACCTGGTGATGGCACCTTTTGAATGGCTCAGTTATCCCTTCTAAGTCTTTATCTCATGAAGTGCAAAGCAAGGAAGTAATCCTGTCCTTCTTTACCGTGAAGGTATTTGGGAGTCCCTTAAGAAGAGTGTTTGGAAATTGTTTTGTCATAAAGCAAATATTGAGTGTTTATATCTCACTAAGTGGAATCTCATTACTATTCCCAAATGGCTATTTCTAATTTAGCTTTTTTTTGGACAGGGTTTCATGGCTCTCAGCCTGGATTCAAACTCATTATACATGCTACACCTTCTAAGTGCTGGGAATACAGGACTCTGTCACCATGCTCAGCCTCCAAGACAATCTTTAATTTAAAATAAATAAATAAATAAAACAAGAGTTAAGTGTATTGGTGCATGCCTTTAATCCCAACACTTGGGAAGTAGAGACAGGAGGATCTCAAATTTCAAAGTCAGACTGGTCTATAGAATGAGTTCCAAGACAGCCAGGGCTACACAGAGAAACCCGGGCTTGAAAAAAATAATTAAATAATTAAAAATAAAAATAAAATAAAACAAGAGCTTTTCTAGTACCAGGAATCAAACCCAGGGCCTTCATGGAAAATATTCTACTACTGACTACATCCTCAACCCCATAATAAGATCTTGCAGTATAGTTATGAGGTGGTATCTTCTTGGAAAGAGCCTAATATAGACCATACTTTGGTGAAGGATGAGAGATGGCACTAGTTAAAGCTTTCTTGAGAATGGGTCCTTGTCACTGCCATGGTGTGAGCTGTCTAGGAAGTTGCTTGTAGGATAGAATCAACGCTTGTAGATGCTACAAGGCATGCTAGGAGCTCCCCTGGGACAGAATGGTACAAAGATGAAACTAGCGTAAGGTAGAATTAGAGAAGCTACTGAGAAAGATGAATGTGTCTGGCTGATAAAGGTAAGAGAGGCCAATTAGACAGGACATGAGCCAGAAGAAAACAGAGCAGAGCTGAACTCCTTGGCTAATCACTCACAAGAATCCTCTTGAGGAAGACAACTGGTACCTGCCTTATCAATTCTTCTTCTTTGTGTTCCTAAGAGGGTGACAGGCTGCTGAGGGGGCTATGGTTGGGTACATCTTCCTAGTTATAAGGCAATATCACAGTATGATGGAAACTGTGCCTGCCTGCATGGTGTGGTTGGGAAACTTGGGAAAGAATCCAGGAATAGGACAAAATGTCAAGGTGTCGTTGTCAGACATATAAAAGGAGAGGAGGTAGAAAAGGATGCATTTGGATTTCAGAGTCAATAATGAGCCAGAAGTGAGTGTTAAATTATTCAACCTCCTTTATTGATCCATTGATCTCTATTTGCAGGTCTTATTTTATTCTTGGTTGGCATTTCCTGTGTCTGAGGACGCTGAAAACAGAAGAGAGGATAGATTTTGAGGCTCAGAAAGAAACAGGAGATAAAGGGCATGGTCTCGCACACCTACCACCCAGTACCTGAGATGATGAAGCATGAAGACCATGAGTTTCAGGATAGCCTGAGCTACTTTTGTTGTTTGCTTGTGAAATTGTTAGTTTGTTTGTTATTGAGACAGGATCTTACTATTTAGAACTGGTGTCCTGGAACTCACGATGTAGGACAGGCTGGCCTCCAACTCACAGAGATCCTCTTGCCTCTGCCTCCTGCCTTCTTTTCTCCCTCTGCCTCCCAAGTGTTGGGATTAAAGGTTTGGGCCACCAGCCTGTCCAGTCATAGTGAGATCTTATCTGAAGAAGAGGAGGAGGAGAGAAAGAAGAAGAGGAAGAAGTAGCGCCACAGAAAAATGTATCAGGAAATTCTACAGTGCCTGTATCTTTGGAATTAGTAGTTCTACTTCTATTAGTTAGTACTAGTTCTAAAAACTGGTACTAAAAACACTATCCAGAACTTTCCAGAGAAAGTCAATGCACCACAAGCTTCGTAGCAGCCTTAACTGTAACAATGAATAACAGGAAATGATCTAAATGTCCAACAATAGGGAAATGGAACAGTGAATCAAGAAGATGCTATCAAAAATATCAAGTGATATCATGGAAAAATACTTGGACCATAGGTTTAGAGCAACACCCCTAAGAAAGAACTCAAAACTGCACATATAGAATGTCAGAGCTGTGTAGGAAAGTGTGTGGGTGGAACGAGGCCAAGGGAAATACACTAACATGTTAGCAATTGCTGGTTATGGAGTTAGTAGTTTCTTGGGCTATTATCGTTGGTGGTGGTTTTTGAGATGAGGGTCTCTCAGAGTTGCCCAGCCTGGCCTTGAACTTCTGAAATTAAGGTCAAGCAATCTCTCAACTTCAGTTTTGGGGTCTGTAGCAACAATTGCTTTAAGGTGACAGAACTCTTATTTTCCCATACTTCCTAATTTTTTTTTTACAAAAAGAAGTTTTTAAATATTTTTTTTAAAGTCTTAGTGCTGTAAGATAGTAGAATAAACACAAATTAACAGGGAGCCAAATTCTTACAGGGCCAGGCATGCTGCTGTGGCTAGGTGGTAGGGCTGGGGATGTAGTTTAATAGACTGCTTGCCTAGCACATGCAAGGCCCCGGGTTTCGTCCCCAGCGCTTCAAAAACCGAAAGCAATAAGCATGAGGCCAGCAAAATGGCTCACTGGGTAAAAGCACTTGCCTACACATCTAGCAACCTGAGTTTGACCCCTGAGAGCCACATGGGAGGAGGAAACCAATTCCCACAAGTTGTCATCTGACCTCCACACACCTTCACATCTTAACACGCATGCTCCCCACTCACAGAAAATAAAGGAACAGAACAAAAGGACTGGAAGGGCTGTCAGTTACTCTGTGGGAAGCAAGAGTCCCCTGAACTCATATTTAAAGAAGGATGAGCTTTCCCTGCAGAGAAGGGGGAGGAAGTCTTGCCAGAGGCATGTGGGAAACATGAGCAGGCCAGTATGGATTGCAGAGGGCCATGGGGAGAAACGGGAGATGGAGTTGGAAAGGAAAGGAAAGATTGTCTGGGGTCTGGAATGCTAGGCTGAAGGCCTTTGTCTTTCTGCCAGGGGAAAAAAAAAACAAAAAAACAGGAGACATGGGGGAGGGGTCTTAAGCAGGAGCATGGTGTGGTTCAAGTTCATGACTGATATTCCCTAGCCTCCTGTCTAGTCTGTTTCCCATCACTTGCCAGAAGTTGGTGGGGGAGGGGGACAAAGCGTCAGGGCAGCCCCGTAAGATTAGCCAGGTCTCTTGACCTGAGCCAGGACCTCTTCCCACCACACCAGGCTCCCTCTCCATCCTCCAGCACCCAGACAAACTCCTCCACCGCCCATGACAAAGAGGCTCATTTGGAGCCTGGGCAAGATTTGCAAACGTCAACCTTGTAATTACAAGGATGAAATCATCTGGTTCCTTTTAAGCAAAAGGGTTTATTGATCCCAACACTGAAGAAATGCTATTCTGGGTAAATCTGCTCCTCTTTCCTTTCCCTATGGCTGAGCGGAGCTGGTGGGGGAGGGTGGCAAGGGAGCTAAAAGAGGAGAACACATTTGGAACAAAAGAGAGATTCTGTATGGCCCAGGGGTAAATTTTATGGAATGTGACTTCAACATTAAAAAAAAAAAAAAAAAAAAAAAAGATGTTAAGGACCCAGGAAGCTGCCTTACTCAGGCAGATGACACATTTGTCCTGGATATTGGCCCATTTCCTTTCAAATAAAAAAAAAAGCTTCCTAGAAGCTGAGTGGAGCCAGGACTTTAGGCATGATGCCAGCTACCAATTTCTCTTCCTTCTCCTTAAGTCTCATTTGTGACTCAGATCCCATTTCAGTTTCAAGATGGTACAATATTTCCTCAGTAGCTGAACGGAAACAGTTTGGTTTTTGTTTGGTTGGTTTTTGTTTGTTCGTTTTTGTTTTTTGAGACAGGGCTTTCCTATGTAACAGCCCTAGCTATTCTGGAGCTAATTCTTATAGACCAAGCTGGCCTCAAACTCATGGAGAACTGCCTGCCTCTGCCTCCCAAATACTGGAATTAAAGGTGTGCGCCACCTCCTGGTGGGAGACTGTTCCCTTAGAAAGACGACCAAATGCATCAGAGGCCTTTAAAGTCAGATATGGGTATCTCAGATACCAGATCCAGATAAAGCCATCCCTTCCACTGGACTTTGGGAGGCAAAATCAGGAAGCCTTGACTTCCCACGACAAAGAAGGACAAACAGTTGGGTTCAGGGGCAGGAATGAATAACCCTGGAACACCAGAGATGTATCCTCCTACAAAGGCCTCCAAGAGGACCCTAGTATTCAACCAGTAAGGAGCCTCTGGGACATGGTGGGTACTCCAGTAGGAGAGCTCCAACTACAGCTTCCTGTGAGTTTGCGGCTCAGTAAGAGGTATAGGCAGGAAGTTCACCAGCAGAGAAGGTGATTCTACCAGCAGAGAAGGGTGGTTAAGATCATTTTGAAACTGGAGATTAGCTTAGTGGTAGAATGCTTGCCTAGCAAGAGCTAGAGCCTAAGTGTGGACCCCAGCACCTGTGTGTGTGTGTGTGTGTGTGTGTGTGTGTACACAATAATCCTTTTGGGTGTGGTGGCACATACCTGCAATCCTAGCACTTGGGAGACTGAAAGAGGAGGATTGAGAATTTAGGCACAGTCTGGATAATATAGAGAAACTGTCTCAAAAATACACACTCACACAATCCTGGGATCATTCAGCCCGTCTGAGGTCAGTTTCCTCGTCTATAGAATAGGCTCAAGAATGTCAAACTTGCAGGACTGTGTGGAGGAGTAAGTGAAAATGATATACCCCGTGCTTAGAATCTAATAGGTCAGAGTCTTGTAATTTACCATAATGCTTTTCCACTCTCTAATTTCTTCCTCTACCTGACAAGCACATGAGACCTTATTTAGAAAGTGGTTGTGGGAATGAACTGAGACAGGAGCATTAAAACACTCAGCCCAGAGTTTCATAGTTGGGCTAGACAATTTTCTGTCCCTGCCCAGCATTGTGTCATTTTCTTTGCATGTACATTGTGTGTATGTGTGGACCAGAAGTTGACATCAGAATCTTCTTCACTTACTCTCTGCCTTATTTTTTGAATCTTTCATTGAACCTAGAACTCACCAATTTGACTGTTCTGGCTAGCCAGCAAGTCCCAGGGATTCTCCTGCCTCCCCAGTGCTGAGATTACAAACACGAGCCCCTAGGCCCCACTTTTTAAAAATCTAGCTTCTAGTGATCCGAGCTTAGGTTTTTGTGCTTAAATGGCAAGCACTCTACTACTGGAGCCAGTATCCCTAGTGTATATTTTCTATTCATCTACCGGAGATCAAACCCAGGAAGTGACTACCCAGACAGGAAGGT